CTCTCTCTCTCTCTCTCTCTCTCTCTCTCTCTCTCTCTCTCTCTCTCCTTCTCTCCCACCACCATGTGCTCTGCAGGGAACAGCATGGAGATGTCATGATTAGTGGGACCTCAAAGACTCAAATCACATCTTTCTCTGATTTCCCCTTCTCTCTAAAGGAACTTTCCTTCTCTCAGAGGTTTTTGTTCAAGTCACTATGAAACATGAAACAGTAAGAATCTTATTGTTGGAATCTAGAAGACTTGTTTTCCTTTTCCTCTTGCCTCACTTTCATTTGCTTGATTGACAGTACTAACACCTTTAATGCACAAACATAGGATTATAGCTCTAGAGTCTGAAGGAATCTCAAAGGCCATGTGGTTCATCTCCTCATTTTACAGTAGAGGAATATGAGGTTGAGGGCAGTGTCCAAAGTTACACAAGTAGTAGAAGTCAGAGTCAAGATTTGAACCCAAGTTCTCTGATTCTTTCCTCATTTATAAAGCAGTCAGGTTGGAATGGCTACCTAGGTGGCACAGTGGATAGAGGGCTAGAACTGAAGTCTAAAGCATTTACTAGTTGAACGACCTTGGGCAAATCACTTAATCTCTGTCTGCCTCAGTTTCCTCATCCACAAAATGGGCATAATAGCAGCATTTACCCCCCCCAAAAGTTATTGTGAGGATAAAATTAAATAATGCTTAAAAAGAGCTTTGCAAATAAAAAGTGTTAGCTGTTGTTGTTGTTGCCTAAAGCAACTTCTAGTTCTAGCTATATGATCTTTATTTTTCCTGTGATTCCAGAATCAGTGCTCTTTCAACAATGCCACATTAATTCAATCCAAAAAGCATTTATTTAATAGTACCTAGTATGTGTATGAGAGTTTACTAAGTGTTAGCTGTTACAATCTTGGCATATCTGTTTGAAATTATGGATACTTGTACACACACAAAAAAAAACAGAAGAAAATTCAGTAATTCTATGGCCATTGCTAATGAAGAAATATTATATTAAAATACATCAAAACCTAGATACATCAATACCCACTTGTATTTATGTGTATAAATGTCTCTGAGGTAAGTTTTAGTTCCCTCCTCTGTAGTATGGGGAAAAATAACCCTTTAGGTACATCACAAAGTATTTCTGAGGAAAGTAAGTAAACATATACAAACATGTCAGATAAGTTATTACTATTGCTATCATTATTAATGTCCATAGCAGGGCAATAACATCCCCCAAACCCGTTAGGATCCTCTTTACATTTGCAGGATAATCCTCTCTTAGCCAAATGCAGGCAGTGAAATTTCCAGAGAGCTCCTGTTTGGTGAAAAATACCGACTGGTCTGGACTCCCAGCTAGGAAACACCATCATGTGCAAATCATAGGATTTGGAACAAAAAAAGGTCATTAGAGGTCATCTAATTTAACTCTGGTTTTACGTATATAAAGAAGCAATGCACCAGAGATGAAGTGACCAGTCCAGGATTTACGAGCTGAATGTAGAAGAGCAGGGATCCAAACCCAGATTCCCTGACTACAAGTGCAAGAGTTCTTTCTGCCAGACCATGTTTGTCTTTCCTACTTTGAAATTCAAATGCAGCTCTTGTTAACGTGCAGTAATAGCTAATAAATAGAAACTATTCCAACTTGAACATCTATTTTAGTTGATCCTAGCAGGAAACTTGACCCTGATTTATGAATTTGATAACTCTTTCCCATTTCAGAAAGTAGCTCCAGGCTCCTTAAGCGTAAGAGACTTGCTAATTTGCATATATCACTAACCCACAGCCAAACTCTCAAGGATTGTCAGCACCACCTGTTCTCACAGGAAGTGACACCATCAGTCCCATCAGCTTTAACTGTGTGGGCTACTCCTGTTAGAGCTCACAAACATTGCCTACGTCAGTATTCACACAGTTATGAAGCCAGCACCCCCTTAACATGGGTCCTAGATGACAAAAATCTAAGATGCTCTCTCTATGGATTCATTAAGAAACTGAAATAAAACCTTTGGTGAGGCATTGAATTTATCACTTTTCTATCTTCTTTCTTGTTACAACAAAACCTAAGGTGAACCAGGAACACCTTAATCAACATTCTCCCCAAGATGTTACATCTGGTATAAAAGTGAATTTAATCATGTGAGCATGAGCTGTTGTCCCCTATACTTTATCTCAAGAAGCAGTGGAATAATTCAGGTCACAACAACACAAGACTTAAACATATGCTGTAGACTCAAGACAGCCATCTCTTCTTTGGGAATATCATAAGACAATAGGATGCATAAAGTTAGAAAGTCAAATTATAAATGTCACCATGGTGCATTTATAAGAAGGGTGTTAAGATATTAATGCAGAACTCTTCCAGAGTCTACCAGGGCATTCCAGAGAAGCAGAAATAAGATGAAATCTCTCTTCCCATGGTGGAGAGAGGAGGAGATAAGGGCAAGAGCAGAGAGTCAGTAAGAGAGATATGAATCTCCTCTAGGAACCCTCTCCGCCTTTGCTTGTATCTCCATAGCTCTCTTTTGTTGGAAACAGTAGAGCTCTACTCTCAAACTTTCCCCTATCTTTCTGCATACCTCTTCCCCAGATCCACTCCCTCCCCTTACCTGGGGTGTATGTCCACGAGCAATACCAGGGTCTGCATGGTGATCACATCAATGCGCTTACAATGGAATCGGGCCACCTTGAGCACCTTGAGGTACGTGAAACACAGCACGACAAAGGAGAGGAGGAAGCTGAGGGCGTGGAAAACCCCAGTGAAAACACTAAAAGGAACCCGCTCCTCATGCCTCTTACTGTACAGGGTGCAGGAGGCATAGAGGTGATGGAAGCCCAGCCAGGACAAGGAGAGAGCGGCAATGGGGAAGGAGATGGAGTGCAGCCACGTGTAGCCCACTATGAGGGCAGCGTCCTTGTAGCGCATCTTGGAGTGGTAGCTCAGAGGGAAGACCACGGCGACCCAGCGGTCTATGCTGAGGGCGGCCATGCTCAGCATGGAGTTAGTGGTCAGGAAGGTTTCTAGGAAGCCCACGATGTGACAGAGTCTGTCTCCTCCTGGCTGCTGTTTATTAAGCATCCCGGCCAAGGTCAAGGGCATATTGACCACGGTCATCAACAAGTTGCAGCAGGTCAAGTTAAGGATGAAGAGCCCTGGCACTTGCTTGCGGATGTCAGGGCTGTAGAGGAAACAGATCAGCACCACCACGTTGGACAGCAGCGAAACAGCAATCATTCCCACCAGCAGGCAAGCCAAGCTCACGTCCCAAGAGTTCATGGTGTGGCCCTTCAGAGGAGGGACCTGTGGGCAAAAGGCACACCTTCCGGATGTCCGAGGAGCATAGTGCGAGGAGAGCTCATCTCCTCACCCCCAGCAGCACTTCTTCTGCCTGGCTTCCCTTTCCTCTTCTAGTAGTCGCTGCCTTGGCCAGAACCATCTTCCCCCGTCCCTTTCCTCTCCTCGGACAGAGCAGCAATTTTGGATACTGCCCCTGTTCTTCTCTCCACCTCAAATACTGTTCACAGAAGTTGCCCCGGAGCTTTGGGGTCAGTTAGCCTTCCGCTAGGCGAGAGGAGCCAGGAACAGGGCAGTCCTGCCTGTGAGCAACACTGTACAGTGCAGCCCTGGACCGGGTGGGTCCAGAGAACGCAGGTATTCTGAGAAGGAGCTCTCCTGAGATCCTTTATCAGCCGGCGCGCAGGTCTCCTCACTCTTCTTCCGCTCTTCCCCCACTCCTTTTCTTCCCCTCTCCTCATCTCATTCTCTCTCTCTCTCTCTGTCTCTCTGTCTCTCTGTCTCTCTGTCTCTCTCTGTCTCTCTCTCTCTCTCTCTCTCTTCCCTCTCTATGCTTTTTTTTTCTTTTTTCTTATCTGGCTTCTTAAGACAACTGATCAGGCAGGCAACAACCCCCCCAACACACAGACATTAGCAGCTCAGTGCAGAGTGATTGGCTGCCTTCTCTCTCCCCCTCCCGCTCCCCCCTTCCACCTAGTACCAAAGAAAACTCTCAGTAAGGAGGGTGTCCTCAAAAGCAATGGAAAGGGCTGAATGAAATGATTTAGCAAGCTCATGCACCCTCTAGGGTGGGCTGTCTCAGTCTTAGTTCCCACTCACCCCAGCCATCAGACTTTCCCCACAGCTGTTGCACACTCGCTGACAATTTCTGCCAAGGCTCTTCCTTCTCTTGCTGAGCTGAGCTGGGGAGAGCAAAACCTCAGGTCCCTTAGTGGATGAGTTACTTAGAGAGGGCAGGATTCCAGAGACTCCTTATCCTCACTGGCAAAAAAAAAAATCTGGCCATTCATCCTCTACGAAGCAATACTCAGGCTACCCACTACTCAGATGAACTCAAATAATCCTGCTTTTTGGAAACTTAGATCAAAAGGAGGGGAGTTGGGCATATATGTGTGTTGGGGGTGGGGCTATGTAATTCTGCACGTGTAAAATGCTTTTGATCTGAAATCTTAATGATTGCCTAGACTCTGGGCAAGAATACAATTCTAAAACATATCTCCTGGGAGGGCAATTGTGAAATGCCCCACCTCCACCCCTCATTCCCCCCCACCACAGCACACAGCAGCTAGGGTTAATGAGCAAGTTGATCTATTTTCCGTTCAGCATCAAACACACAGATTTCTTGTTCATATGGTTATGGAGCTCATTTCTATCTATTGTGTGAAAGCTCTGTGGATTATATAATGTGCCCTGTGCTCTTCAATGCTCGTCTCTCCACAGAAAGAAAAGGAAATGATTGTGCAGTATCACAGGGTTGAAGATCAACATAGGTGTCCTAGTGATGATTGTAGCAGAAACAAATGGCATCAGTGATCTTAGCCACCTACCTACAGATAAGCAACAATGGGGATGACTACTCACTTTGGGATGTTCTCAAAAGAGACAGCTTTAGGGAAAGATTGATTCAGTTACTAGAACCCCTCTAGCAGAATGAACTTCTTCCTTTATGTCTGGAAAAAGAAAGCTTCCACACATGAAGATCATGGCCCTTGTTGGCTTCATGTACCCTAACAGCCTTTGTTGACTTGAAAGACTGGGTTTACCATACTGGATCACACATCTCTGGCCTCAATGTCTGAAGCATCATCATAGAGCCGGAAGGGACGTTAGGGGTCATGTTGGCCAATCCCTTCATTTTACCTGAGAAAACTATGTCTACAGGTTTAGTGACCATCCCAAGATCAAGGAAAACTGCAGAGCCAGGTGGGATTCAGACCTAGGCTCTCTGACTCCAAATCTCATTCTCTTTCTCCTATATTATGGCCTTTGCCCTTGATGAAATTGAATTATAAAGGGTCAGCTCTTTTGGATTTTTATGACCAAAATCAAGTCAGTACTTAGAACCACAGTCTTCTTGCTTCTGCTGTGTCACACGTAATAATTTCCCTCTAAAAAAAACCTGGATGTTTTTCATGTGGTTATGTCCATATATGACACACATGCAGCTCTCGTGGTCAGGAGATTAGGTTTTCATTCTTTCCAGGGTCTCCTGAGACCTAGTAATGTGCACCATTTCTTCCTTCTCTGCGTATCTGGAGCACTCTTAACTGTAGCACACACTTAGCACATGTAACTCTGTATTGTTAGTTATCTTTAGTAATAATGGTAATAAAGATAATAGTGGCTTCCATTTAGTACTTTAAAGTTTGCACAGTACTTGATCTCTTTCGTCTCACCTTTGTGAGGGAGGGGCTACAGGTATTATTTCTATTTTAAAACTAAAGAAATTGAGCTGAGATGTTCAAATTCATCACTCTCGCTCCCATATCCAGTCAATTGTTAAGTACTGTTATTTCTCCCTCCACAACATCTCTTGCATCCCAGCCCATCTCTCCACCCACACAGCCACCAGCCTAGTTCAGGTCCTCATCTCCTCTGACGTGGAAAACTGTAGTAGCTGCCAAATTGATATTTCTAAAGCACAGTCCTAAATGCATCACTCCCCTATTCGAGAAATGTCCGTGGCTCCCCATCACCTTGCGGATAAATTGGCAAACTACTATGTTTGACAATAGAACCTTTGACAACCTAGCTTCAACCTGTCTTTTTAGGCTAATTATTTCCTATCAAGAATCCAAATTCCAGTCAAATTGGAGTACTTGGTATTTTTTATATGTGGCATTTCCCTCTCCTATCCCCATGCCTTTGGACAGGTTTTCTTCCATGTCTGGAATGCTCTTCTTTCTTTTCTCTACCTTTTGGAATTTTGTCCCCTTCAATGGCTCAAGCACCACCTCCTGGGCAAGTCCTTTCCTTCTCCCCTTAGTTGTTAGTGCTCCCTACTGAAATCACTTTGTCACTATTTTGCATATATTTTGCATTTTTTTCTTGTATATATGTTGTCCCCCTACATGAATAGAATAGCCAAGATTAGTTCATTTTTGTCTTTGTATACCCGTATCTAGCATATAGCTAATGTTCAATAACTGCTTGTTAAAATGAATTAAGGGGACTTGCCTTTGATCACACAGCTAGTGTCAGAGCCCAGTGCTCTGTCTCCAAGCCCAGAACTCTATCCACTAGGCCATTGGGGAAGAGCTGAAGCCAAAACATTCATTACCCTGCAGCCAACCTGGGGATGAAGTTCTCAAAATTGAATTAGCTAGATTGGTTCTCAGGTGAAATCATGGAGACTGTATATGTAAAAGCTTTTCCAGTTTGGTAGGACCTACCAAAGCCTATGTCTCACCAACCCAGAATACTAGGTCACCTCCATGGAACAAAAATGAGACATCATAGAAGGACCTTTTGAGGACCATCCAGGCTTCAGAAAAGATGGAGGATGAATTCACAATTCCTGGATAAGACTTGGTGAAATATATAGAAGCTTCTTCTTCATACCTTGGTCTTTGGGCAGGAGTTGCTTAAACCTCCTGTAAACCATTTCAGAGGGATATGAACTTCTCTTTTTCAAAGCCTCCTCTGAGATCTAGTACCAGCATTTAACAACTCATACATAACAGAGTTAGGTACATTGCAGGCATAAGCTAAGTATATATACAGTGGAGATAGAAGTACAGCTCTGGTACTGCATTTCCCTGCCCTCCATACACCCCTGGCCCAGTAATATTATTTGGGGCTCTGGATGTGCTGTCTCTGTTGATTAGGTGAACTAAATGCCATTTAGCTGTAGTGAGGCTCTAGGCTCGGTGGATGGAAATAGATAGCTATTATTTTTCTTTTCCTGGAATCTTCAGATCAGTGCTAAAGGCATTCCAAGGATCCCTGGGTACTCAGATTTTTAGACATTTCAGGGTTCTAGGTTTAAACCTGGGGATCTATCTGATGGAATTCTGTAATACTCAATGAATGTTTGCTGATTGAATAATACCCCACTTCTTTCCCTGCCTCCTACCTTCAAACCAATGGTGATTTTAATTTAAACAGATATTGCTTATAGCCAAAGGAATTCAATTTAATGGAATCAAAGATACAGAGCTACAAGTAAAATTAGAGGCCATCTAAAGTGACATCCTAATTTTACAGTTGAAAAAATTAAAACTATAGGCCATTAATAATAATAACAGCTAGCATTTATGAAGTGCTTTAAGGTTTTCAAAGCACTTTACATATTTTATCTCATTTCATTCTCACAGTAATACTGTGGGGTAGGTCCTATTAGCTCTCTTCATTTAACTGAAGCTGTTAAAGTTTAGATAACTTGGGCAGGGTCACACAGCTAGTAAATAGCTGAGGCAGAATTTGAACTCAGTCATCTTGACTCCAAGTCTAGCAGACTTCTATTCCTCTGAATTCCACCAATAACATTCTTACTCTTGTATCCCTCACTATGGTTCGAACAGGGAACTCTGAGAGAGGAGAATTTCCTTTGGAGAAAGAGAAGCAACAAAGCAGGGTGTAATTTGAGTTTTTGTTTGAGGTCCTATTACCTCAATTACCATTACCACATGGTGGTGATAGTGTGTGTGTATGTGTGTGTGTGTGTGTGTGTGTATGTATGAGTGTGTGTTAGTACTTCAATGTTTTCACATCCATAGGAGACTTTTAGCAAATTACCATTTTCACAGCACCATTAGAATCCAAAGGACCAAAACCTGGTTCTAAATTTATCATTTTGGAAAAGCTCCTTTGAAAATAAGTGGACTTTTGATCTAATGTAATGATGATGGGGATAATGATAACTAGCATTTATATATTGCTTTAAGGTTTGCAAAATGCTTGACATGTTACCAAATAAAATAAAAGGTGCTATTATTATCTTCATTTTAGAGATGAGAAAAATGAGGATGAGAGAAGTTAAC